TTTAATTCCAGTTTTATAAATGGAGAAAGAAAAATAAAGCAAAAACAACATTTGAAAAGATAATGCCTGAGAATTTTCCAGAACTAAAGAAAGACAACAACCTATTGATTTAAGAAATCCCATACCCAAGAGCCTGACCCCTTCACCATTGGAAAAACATGAGATTTCCTTATGGGATCATTTATTCCTGTTTTACACTTCTAAATTGAAATCTTCCCCGGATGCATCTGATTGGTGGAACCCAGGTCACATGCTTACTCCCAGCTGCTAGCTGGGAAAGCAAATTTTCTAGGACAGACTTACTTATAATATGTGAAATTACCAAATGTAAGGAGAATGTTTTAAAAATGTTGGACACTCTCTCACCACAAATGCCTGCAACAGGGCTATTCAAAAAGCTCATGTTCAGGCCTCTGCTGTTTTCTTTTTGGACGCTCTTCCTCCAAGAGTACATAACTCTTAGAGGCTCTAACTCAATGCGTGATTTATGTAATTTGATCTAACCTTGAGCTATCGATCTATGGAACTCTATAGACACAAGAGTATTCTAGCTATTGTACAATTCCCCTAAACTCCTCCATCCTCACCTCAGATTTGGCCTACCTAATCCTAGCACTTCACCCCTCTGCCCTCTCCACACACCCATCTCTCCTTTAGACTTGTTTTTTTCTTTTTTTCCCTGCAACTATCATCTTGCTTCTGCAAGGTATAATATTTGAGAGTCTTCCCTCCTTCCTCTTTATTGTCCCTTACTTCCTCTTTATTCATATCTGACTCCAGCAGAATCTGCCTTCCCTGTATCTCTCTCATTCATTCCTTCCTTTCCAGTCCCATAAATGTGACCCTCCTGCAGCTTTACTGTTTGAGCATCTGAGCATCTGCATGGTGACCAATCTCTAATGTTCCTTTGACTCTGGTTTCTCTTCCCTTCAATTCATTCTGCATATCCATGCCTGGTGAGTTTCCATTTTCAATTTTTAAAAGGGCATAACTTCATTCCAGAAATCTGTGTCTCCTACTAACCTGTCTTCTTACCTTCCCTCAATTCCAGGAGGGCGGACATCTGCCCCAGCCAGTGTTCTCCCTCGGCCCCTTGAATGCCTGTCTTTCTCTTAGACTTTGCTCATAAATTTTCTTTTACCAGAGATCACCCCGCCCCCAAACTTGTGTAAATCTTAACCCCCCTTAAAGCGCAGCTCAAGCCCCATCCCCTCCTGAAGGCCCGCCTCTGTGATGGCTCCCTGTAAGTTAGTGAACCTTGGCACTGTCCTCCACTCCCTTACATCTGGCACAGCTATTTTTCATTGTTCTCTTTCATGAAAACTAGAGTTCTTTTATTTCACAAGACTATAACAATGACTTCAAGGTAAAGACTGTATCTGGATGCCTTCTTCCTAGTGCAGAGCCTGGCTCAGAATTGGAGTTTAGTGTTTGTTGAATGAAGGGATGAATTAAATAGCGAGTTAAGGAAGACCTGCTCTGGCGCTGAGATTCGAGCTGTGAGAAAGGTCCCTACATCTAAGGAACTTGAGGCAGGCGGTTGCAGGTCGGTGGAGGTCCTGAGTCAAGGAGAAAACCCAGTGCAGACGTCCCAGTTTCAGCTCAGAGACCTGTGGCAGGCAACTTCCTCTATGCCGGGTTTTCCTTCTTAATTTTCACAATCGGGGCGGGCTGGGGGGTAGTGAATGCGGGGGACGACAACGACACGATGACGACAACGACAACATGGGGAGCTTTCACTGTGTTAGACTGTGTCGCGCTGGACAGATTTCTCCAATCTTAAGATAGTGGTGGTCCCTGTCACTGCCCCCTACATTATGCTATCCGCAGCAAGAGCCTGCAGACTGAGTTCCAATAGTCGGGAAATAGATTGAAATGACGTCCAGGTTTTGTTTGCTTCTTACAACTCAATTACGCTAATAAAGGCCCAGCATAAACCCCTTCTTTTTCTGCGCAAGAAGGAAGCCACTTGTCCAGGCGGCCCTATAGCTCAGGGGTTAGAGCACTGGTCTTGTAAACCAGGGGTCGCGAGTTCAAATCTCGCTGGGGCCTATAAAGCATCAGTCGCTCTTTTGTGTTCTTCTCACCCCTCGCCCCCTCCCAATGATAACTTTAACCCCTGCGGATATCCAGCTCTGTGTATCTTCTCGCCGCAGTGACCTCTGCGCCCGCTGAGCAGAACGGCTTCCTCGTAGGTCCCCGTGTTAGTGCGCAAGCGCTGCTTTGCTGCCCGGGAGGTGGCGGAGTCCATTTCGACGGCGGGAGGCGCTGCCAGCCTGCGCGGACGCCCTGGCTGTGCGGCCCGGCGGGGAGTGCCCGGAGGCGGCTGCCTCGCGAGCGTCGAGGGCGGTGGGAGAAGAGAATGGGATGGAGCCTGCAGCACCCGCTCTGGGCAGGTTTGGAGCCCAGAGCAAGGTCCTCCTCCCCAAAGGGAGGAGCCGCAGTCAGCCGCCCGGGGTAGGCGTCCGGGAGAGCGCAGGCTGTCCGGCGAGCTTTGAGGTTGCCGTGGGTTTTCCAACACTTCGTTATCTCAGCGGGCAAAATGAAGGGCGAGACTTGGGTCACTAAAATTGTTATGCTCAAAGAAATTGCGGCTTCCTCTTTGAAAAACCTTAAAATATTTTCTCCAAAAGTCAGTTCTCACAGAAACATTGGGCTTGCCCATACGTATTATACTCCCCCTCCTCTCCCTCCGCGAGTCTGGGGACACAGAGGCGGAAGAGGATCGCGCTCGCCGGCGCAGACGCGCCCGGATTCCGAGCGAGCGCAGGAAGTGAGGCCAGGAGGAGAGGCGCAGGCCTGCGCCCCGAGGCCCGCCCGTCTCCCTGGCGCGCCGTGGCGCGGTCGGAATTGGGTGTCCCACCGCCTCAGGCCTCAGTTCCCCCATGCCCGGGTGGTCGCTCGCAGTCTAGACGCACACCGTGCCAGAGAGGCCCTCGCGCTAGAACACAACAGCCCCCGGGCGAACAGAACTCCCCCCACCAACCCCCGGCCCCCGCCCCCCCGCCGCCGCGGGAGGCCTCGGGATGCACGGGTTCTAGGTGCGCCTGGGAAGAGCCCACGGGGTGGCCCTGCTTGGAGGCCCCTCAGTGAAGGAGACTCCAGCTCTAGAAGGGTTGTTCCCAGAACTGCGAGCGCAGGACTTTGTCACACGCTGGCTGCTCCGCGGTGTCCACTCACCAGCAACTAGAGGATTATCTCGCATCCGCCTCTGTTTATCTCTGTCCTGAATAGGGGATTCTAGAGAAGGTGTTCATGTGCTCCCTTCGATAGCTCAGCTGGTAGAGCGGAGGACTGTAGTACTCTTCATCATGTAGTCATCCTTAGGTCGCTGGTTCGATTCCGGCTCGAAGGAAGAGCTGCTGTTTTGGGGTTTCACAACCACCCAGCGAGCCGTTGTTCACCGGTTTCTTCCACCGTTCTCTGTCTTCGGGAGGTCCCTTTCTCCAGACCTTACCCCTGTCCCAAAGAATAATTCCGCTTAGTCGAGAGTTTGAACTCATAACGCATCTTTAAAAAATTGGTTCTACTGTGCACTGTTCTTAAAACAGTGAGGAGGGGAATGTGAACCAACTCTTTCAACCAGGTTGGAAAGGTTCTGAGTTACCTAAGGTGTTCTTTCTTTTGGCTTCTAGTGGATCCTACGTTGCTGCCCGAGACCCAAAGTTCAGAGACCCAAAACCACTCGTTGGCAAGAACCGTATATATATACATACATACGTATACGCCCTGCAGCCTGCGGGGCTTTAATGTGCAGAACAAAGCCCCTGAGACCTTCAGCCCAAATGTTCGCCCTCACTCTACAGACATTCATTCATCGGCCGTTACGAGACAGTTTTAATTCATTTAGCTATTCATATATTTTTATAGTTCCACAAACAGGATTTTGAGCCAGAGCAGGAAAGAGGAATAGGATTTGACGTGAGTTAGGATGAGACTGAGAGAGAGAATTCAAGACCAAGGAAACAATTGAAGCAAATGTGGGGAGATGGAAAACTTCATTCTCACTCGGGGAAACTGCGAGACGTCTGGACTATCCGAACACGCGCCAGCCTGGGCCGCCTGCAACCGACTCCAGCTCCCGTACTATGGTGCCCACCAGTCCTGCCCCTAGGATTTTATGCTCGCGCGAGGTAGTAGCAGCGCGACAGATACACTTCCCGCGCGCGCGTCCTGGGCTCGGGACCCTACAGCCTCGCAGCCGAGCTCCGCTCGGGCCCTCGGGCTCCAACCCGATTCCCTCCAGGCTCTCTTCAGGCTCGAGCTCGCGGCTAGACCCGTCCCGGCGGGGCTGGGTGGATCTCAGACACGTGGCCTGAAGTCTGAAAAGCTGCCTCCTCTCACCCCACTTGGCGTCTGGAGGGGTCCAGGACGTGGATCGGGGAGAATAAGCGAAACTAGGGCCAGAGTCAGATGTGAGACTTTATGAAGATGGGAAGAAGAACTAAGCAAGGCAAAAGGTAAATGTCACAAAGGGGAACAAAACCGTTGAGTGGTGTAGCCAATCGCTGACGGGAAAGTGAAGTTCAGAAGATACGTAGGGAAAGTTCTTATACCGTGGCTCGTTGGTCTAGGGGTATGATTCTCGCTTTGGGTGCGAGAGGTCCCGGGTTCAAATCCCGGACGAGCCCGGATTCTCTGGTATCCTTTTGTTGTCCCCCCCCCCCCCTTCTTTGGAAACTACTCATGGAAAAATTGAGCTCTGTACAAACTTTCTCGCGTTCCTAACTGTTCTGCAAAAGAGAGGTACACTGAATGAACAGATGGGAGATGGGGCTGAGGACCTATGCGGGACGAAACTGCCTGGCTTCCTGGACTCTTCGCCTGCGGACGCCTCGGGGGGGCTGCCTCGCTTCTGGGAGCAGGGGCCGGTATCCCGTGGTCGGCTGTCCTCGGGGGCGGTGTCCCCGCAGCTGCTGCGCGTCGGACTCGGGTCTCCAGGCTCGCTCCCGGCCCAGGCTGGGACCCGCCCGCCGCGCCTGGGGCGGGGGCTGCTGTGGCGCCTGCTCCAGAGGCGGGTCCAGGCGGAAGGGGCCTCCTCGGGGGAACCAGGCGGGGTCCCAACAACACAGAGAGGCTCGCACGCCAGGCGTCCACTCCTCGCCAGACCCCTATCCCGTCCGTGTACACACACACGCACGCTGACCCCAAGCAGGATCCAAAGCAAGCTTCAAAAGAACATCTTTGCGTTTTCTGCCAGCTCCCCATCATCATATAAGCGAGGAAGAAGCGGCTGAGAAACAAAAACTTCTTTTTCCACTGTCCTGACCGTTTCTGCAGCCTTGTTCCGAGGCCGAGGTGGGTTCACACTCCTGCTCCTCCTTCTCCCTGTCGATGGCTTTATCAAGAGTGTTTTGGCTGAGGGAGTCCCTTCTTAGCACAGGCAGTGTGGGGCTCCTCCGGGAGGCTTTTGTGGGACAAGACTGGGGGAGCTGAGGAATGGGAAGGAAGGTAAAAGTCCAGTAATAGTACGAGTTCGCGATTCTGCATTCCCACCCCATGTTTACTTCCCGCAGCTGAGCAGAGTTGGCAGCGTCAACGCCCACTGCCTGGAACCTAGGCTCAGAGCGGGGACCACAGAATTGGCGGACTGAAGGGAGACCCGAGGAGGCCTGCACAGGCTCAAAACTAAGGATTCTTTGCTTGGTACCCAGGTTGATCTCCAGGTTTATGAAGCAGGTCTTGTCCAGTTTGTGCCAGCGTAACCGACATTTGGGGCCTGGTGTTTTCGTTTCTTGTTTACTTTACTCTGTCTCCCCACCCTTAACCCACCCTCAGCCAATGTTGTGAAATTCTTGGAGACTCTTTGCCAACAGACTCGTCTCTAAGCTTTCTTACTGGAACGTTGGGATCCTCGGCTTTCTTCCTCTGAAACAGCACATCAAATGGTGACAACACAAAGGCAAAACAGAACATCTTTCTTTAGGAAGGACAGTAGAAACAGTTTCAGCACGGTTCTGGGGACTAGGGAAATCTCAAATGAGCCAAGACCCTCCCTCTGTGTCATTAAGAACCTTATAATGGAGTCATAAATGTAATCACTAGAAACCCAAGTGACATAATTATCTGAGCAGCACATGGCCAGCTTGCCAGAAGCAGCCTCAGGTATTCCAAGAGCTACTTAACTACACAGTTATTAACTAGTTAGTGCAGAAGGATAATTTGGTTTCAGACGATTTATTTCAAGCAGCTCTTTTACAGATAAAAGGGAGAGGGAAATATTTTTGAACTTTATGGAAATATTCAATGTAGGTTTCCCTTAAGCAGCAATTTTCAGTGGCACCTTTAAAATTAGCTTTGATTTTCTAGAAATTACTAGTATGGAATACAAAAGCTGTGTGGTGCATTGGAAAGATTCTAGTCCCAGGAACACTAGATGTTCCTTGGGCAATACATATTCTCTTTCTCTTTCTCTGTTGCTCATCCGTAAAATGAGGGATTGACAGATGGTCCCTGAAGTCCATCTCTTTCTTATTCTATGACTGCGTTGGGTGGCAGGGTGTTAGTAACATGACTCTTATACAAAAGAAGGTACTCCAGTAATGTGGGGAAGAACTATAGTTTAGTAGAGAGGATGGGCAAAACCATTCCAGGAAGGGGAATGGCTCTGGCTATTGTTGAAAGAGCAGATGTCAGGTTATAAGCAGGTAACAGAGATTTGTCAAGTTATTGTTGGAAACATTTGCCAGTGTGATTCATAAATTAAAATAGATAGATAAGAAAGTAGATCAAAGCAGGCCAGCGAAACCCCTCTTTAGAAGTTTGTATTTAATCTGTATTTGAGCAAAGAGCAATTTCTGTAAATAGTTACTCTCAGAAGAACACCTCAAAATACCTAGGAAAGAAAGAATGGGCACAAAGCCCAGAATTTGTTGAAAAGTGAATGTTTAATTTTTATCTTTGTTTGGAAATATAGGCATGTCAGCAGGACTTTGTCCCGATTCTCTCTCAATAAATAGTGCCCCCCCTTCCTGGAGGCCGAGGCATGATCCTTCTTTTCACGTGAGCTTCATCCTCTTTTAACCATTACTTCTGTCACTAAATAAGTTTCATGTTTATAGACCTAAATGTTAGAGTTATAAAGGAACTTAGAGATTAGGCACTTCCCTCCATCACCTAATTTTATAATTAGTCTTAAGGACAGAATTAAACGTGTCCTCAGTATAAAGGGGGAAAGTACACCAGCAGTAGAGCCTTAGAAGGAGAACTCATGCTTTCTGTGTCTGTGTGCAGGGAGACTAGTGGCTTGAAGAAGAGACATAGAAAAACATTTCAGGAGAAGGGGAATGACTTTTAAGTTCAGGCCGTCAGAACATTTTTTTAAATATATGAGCACTTTTTTTCAATTGGCAATTGCTTCATACGTATTAAAATTACCAACAGAGATATGATGTTCATTAATCATAGACTATAATTCCTTGTTGTATTTTGAAACACAAATGCCTAAGCACTTAGATGCATTTTAATGAAAGAGTAAAACTTTTTTCCCCCAAACCTTATTTTCTATTTCGTCATAACGTCATTGTGCCAAGCTGAAAAGAAAAACAATTAGAACAAAAGCAGCCATTCACCATTCACCTACCTGAGTTTTTGCATTGTCAACTGTGTGGGCCGGTTGTGAAATCTCCAGAGGTTGTCGGGTGAGATCCCAGAGGCAGAGGGGGGACCTGGCTGTGTTCAGAGGCTGGAGGCTGCTCCCCAGCATCACTGTGTAACTCCCACATCAGAGACTGGTCTGTTTGTGTGAGTTGGTGCTTGAACCGTGTTCCAGGCCATGGGACTCTGTGTGTGTGTGTGCGTGCGTGCTCACGCACACGCACGCATGTGATGTTGGAGTGGAGTACCTTATCTCTGCTTTTAGGCAATTTATCAGAGAAGGGTCATGTTGATCAAGTCATCTTGATCCCCATAGACTGCGGCGGTTGAATGCTGCTTCCATCATCCAGGACTGCTGAGGCAATGGGGGTGTTGCAATGGACCTGGCAGATGTCCTCCCGACCTAATGACTGGTTGATAACTTTTTAGAACTCAGTTCTTCAGCATCTGTTTAAAAGATGATGTGTGATTAATTTAAAATAGGCACCACTCTCAAATAGTGTGTTTGCCCACAAAAGGAAAGTGAGCATTTGGGTGTTCTGTTAGATGCAGTAGAGGCCCCACTCTCTGGGCCCCATGTCCCCTTAATTCTCTTTGCAACTAAAGGGCTTTGAACTTTGGTGGTTGGTGTTTGGCAGAACAAAGGTCAGAGGCATGCCTATCCCTGCCTTTCCAGAGACTTCAGTAACCCTGAGGCACCAGGTACTGAGGGTAAAGCTGTTTGTGGCAGTTTGCTTGTTCCTCTTCTCACTACCTCTGACATTTTTTTTTTTCCTTTTAGCTCAGGCTAAAAGGGAAAAAGATATGGAAAAAAAAAAAGTGAAGCTCAGGCAGGACTGTGCCCACCACAGCTGAAAAGCACATGAAGTGTGTCCTTTTTCAGGTTTTCCATGCTGCCCACTTTTCTTCCTCCTTAAATCCTCAGGCCCTTCCAGTTACCAAAAACTGTTCTTAAAATAAGCTCGAAAGCACATGCCCAAGGATGTTTAAATCACCCACAGCTGTTTAAAGAGTTAACCCTCCTAGAGATTTTTGCATTGGAATGGGGACCGATCCCTAAAGATAAAGGAATATTAGTGGGCTTTCAGGATTTATCAGTGAGCTAGAAGCAGAGCTTTCCCAGGAAGCTTGGAAGTCTTCCTACTCTACCTGGGAATCAGGCCTGCCTTGTTTGGTAACTGCTACCAAACCCAATTGTGTCTGTCAACCTTAAGAGAAGTGTCAACCTACAAAAACAGAATCCAGTTTAAGAGGCAAAGCGTTTATTTGGGATCAAAGAATTGCAATTCAGGGAGCACAGATTAAGGTAGAAACTCAAATAGTGTCCCGATTACAGCAGAGGGGCTTAGGGTTTTTATGGGAAAAAGGGAAGATGAGGTGAGTTATGTTAAAGGAGAGTTCATTGGTGCTAGATGAGGTAACACTCAGTTTGTACTTCATAGATTAGGCTTGAGATGCAATCATCAAGCCAAAGGCTAGACTTGTAATTCATTGATTGGTTAGCAATCTGGTCATCAGCAAAGTCCAGCTCCATCAGTCCTTACAGACAGGAAATTCTTGTCCTTACTGACTGCTTGGAATGTTAGCAGTTTGGTCCAGTTTGGAAGATAAAGAAAATAAGACATGCAAGGCAGTTCCTCTCAAATGGCTGCTCTGGCTGTTTTAATATGGCTCCACTCATGTCATCTTTCACAGAAGCCGGGAGAGTTTGCATGGGTGGGGTCTCCAGAGTGAGATCAGATGGTGCATTCCTAGAAGCAATGAGGGATAACAAAAAGAACTTGGGGCCTAGGAGTCAGTGACTGTTTCAGACGCTAAGGATGTAGAGGTGAATAAGACAATTCTTCTCTCAAAGGGTTCCATCTAATGGAAAGATTATGAAGTCAATTAATCATCAAAGGAGTGATGGTTAACAGCCTGTTTCCCAGGTTATACTAACCTGAAGTAAAACCAGATGAATCCCACCCATGTTATAAGAACTCCAGATCAGCTCACGTTCTTCTCTGAGCATTCCTGAAGTTCCCAAGGGGTGTACACATGCTTGCAAACTCGCCTTTTCAACCTACACGATGAGGCTGCAATTTACTTCTTTCTTGGTCCAGCTCCCTGGGGAGGTCTATCCCTGCCATACAAAGGGACCTACGCTGCTGAGAATGTCTGAAGGTGCCTACATGCAGTGTCCCCTTCCTTTTTGGCAGAGCAAATGGTCTGATCTGATGTTCTAGCTCTTGTCTAGACTTGCCTCAAATTTGTCCTAACAGAATCCTCAAGTGGAGGAAGGTACTTCCCCTCCTGCCCCACGCCCTACACCACCCCTGTAACCATGTAGTGACCTTCTTTACACCAGGTTGCTGTGTACTTTCTGAATCTTAGAGGTATTTCACAAAACAACCTTTATTTTTATTCGAGTTTTTATTGCAGCTGCCTCTCCCTAGGCCCCGGGAATCTGGGTCAGAAGGGGATGTGACTGGCACATACTGTACTCCTTGCCCAACACTGCTCCATGGCCTTTTCATCTTTCTCCTGCCTCTCATCGTGTTCTTCTCTTGCGATGAATCCTTTCCCAGGGGCATCACAGACTCTTACACAAATAAGCTCAGCTGGGGCTGACTTACTAGCTTTTCAGACACATCGGGAGACATATCAAGTCTACAGTCAATGCAACTTTGGCTGTCAACTTGGGACCCCTGCTGCGTGCTTGCCTCAATGGAAGTGTGTACAATGGCGGTACAGTAAATCCACAAAGAAAGAAGTGGGCAACTCCTCCTGGGATGGAGTGGGATTGAGGCAGGTCAGTCAGGACTCAGAGGAGGCGTTGCTCGGGCTGAGTCTGGAAAGATGAGAAGATTCTCGCCCTGCAGATAAGGGGTTTGAAGTCTGACTGCCCCATTCATCTGCTGTGTGATCTTGGAGTTTCCTCATAAGAAGACTGACTTGCATAATACCTCACGCTGGTGATGGTTAAATGTAATCAAGTATGTGAGAGCTGCATAAAATGAAAGGTAACACTGATTATTATAATGAAGATGAGGATTTCAAGGGCAGTTGTTTTACGGGCGGGTAGCCTGTCTTTAGTTGACAGCTTCTCAAAAACAGGCAGACTGAAAACTTGGAGGTGGGTGGATGATAACAGAGGGTGGAGGATTTTTAAAAACATAACACTGTCCCAGGTCCAACACCAGTGTAGGTGGTTGCTGGGGGTCTGTGAAACAGTTGGTGTCCTGCTGCTGCCTGATATTTGAAACTATAGGATCTATAAGTGATCCTGGTGACCTATGGCTCACTGTTTCTTTGCAAGCGATGAATCCACTTTGTGATTAGATGCAATATCAATGTTGCATTGATGGTGGAGATAATCAATTTTGCAACTGTGTTACAAGGAACAGAAGATTGAGTGCTCAGGGTTAGTCTCTTGTAGAACAGGTAAGGATGACGAGAAGGAGAAGTCTAGAATATATGGCAAGGATATTTCTGAGGGTTAGTAGCTGGGAGGTTGAGGGCAGGGGCAGGGTGCTAATAGCTGTCACATAACCTTCTCTAGAAGTGCTTTCCTGGTTCTATGAAATCTATGGAATAACCTACTCAGCATCCTTGCATGAAACCAAATTCTGTGGGTAAAAAGAAGTACAGTGGAACAGTATCCTGCTGGAGGATCACATCTTACTCTGCAGGCTTCTTCCAAGGCAGTTCTTGGAGGTGGCTCGCAATATCAGAAACGCCGTCTTCTGGATCCAGATCATTGCATGTGATCAATGAAACCTCGCTCCTGTCATGGGCAAGAGTGAGAACGACAGACATCAGAAAAAGGCAGCATTGAGGCAAAAGGTCATGTTTATCAAACTTTGCCTTCCAGAACAAATCTCTAATCCATTTAGATGGGTTAATATTTGATCCAGTCATGCCCAGGGAAGAGGTGAATGACTCTCCTCGTTTGTCCAAGAGCAGTGTCCTTGGTTTTCATGTCTCTGCCAGGATTGGGGGTCTTTAGATCTAGTCTCCCCACCCTGTTTGTCTGATCACTATATAATTAGAACTGGGAGAGACTTCCATGTTCACACAGCTGGAACCCACCTGCAGGAACAAACAGCTGGAACCCATCTTCAGTTGGAGGGAAACTTCCAGATTTTTGTAAGATTCTTCCTCCTGGGTAATCTACTGTCCTATTTGTTTATCTATGTACTATTTCTAGCCATCGATCCATTTCAATGAAACCATTTTCTCCCTTTTAAAGTCTCTGGGCCCAAGCTCATGAATGAAGAAGAAAATGAATCAGATTCTAAAGTTTAAAATGAAAACAAATTTCTTTTGGGATAGTCTGTATGTGAATAAAGGGAAATTAATGAGACTGGGAGGTTTAGGAGGGATTCTTCAATTGTGATAAAATCCCCAGAGACCTGGGGAACCCATTTGCTGAAGGGCATCTGGGGCGCCCCTGGATACAGGCATTGTATGTGGCTTGACAAGGAAAGAAACAGAAAGTATGCTTTTATCTCTGTTTTCTCGTAACCTTTCCTGCTAATTTCTTTCCTTAAGAAAGTTTTGCATGGTCTTTGAAAGCAAAGTGGAACACATCCCAAGATCAAAAGAAGGTACTGCCAGTGTACCAGAAAGAAGATAAAGAGAGGAATATGCATTGAGTGTCCATGCTCTCACTTTGGGGGATATAGCCCTAGAACATATAAAAATGTGAAACTATGTTGTAATTGTAACCATAGGTACTCATCATAAGCTGTCAAGTTAACTCCATAGTGCATAAAGTCTGATGGATCTCTTGAATACAAGATATTGCCTGAGGAGAGAAGAGGAGAATATTAATTTTTGTGAAGACTAAGGGATTGCTTTGAGACAGAGGTTAGTTAGTCTAAAGAACAGTTGGGACAAATTCCACTGACAATAAGCTGACTGACAGTTACGTGCTTGGAGGTAGAAGGATATATGTGAATGAGTCTGACCACCAGATGTGAGGCTCTGCACCTTGGCCTAGGCAGATTCACTTCTGCACCCAAAATAATATGTGTCTTACTTATTTTCTTCCAGTTCCACTTTACCTGTCTTTGGGGGGAATTTAGAATTGAGTATATGAGTGAGGAAGTTGTGAGTAGGGGAGCAGACGTTAGACACTGGTGGCCGTGGTATGTGCTTGCTGGGATTTCGTTTCTGGATGTCTTAGGGAGTCAAGATTACAATAAGCCTGAGCAAACCTTAGCTGAGTTGTTACAGAATGAGTGTGCAAATTCTGAAAATCAGAAACAAAGATACTCCCTTACCTTTCCAGACTGGGACGTGAGGGCCTTCAACCTACAATGAGCAAGTGGCTTTTTAGGATGTGAAGCCCCTATGTGGTGTCGGTCCTGTGCCTTAACTAGAGGTGGTCTGTGGGCTTGGCTTATATGCAGAGCCTTAAGGGATGATGCATTTCAGTGAGATTGGGCCACAGGTCAGCCTGTCATCTATTTCTTCCAGCTGGTGCCCTATACCACCAACTAAACTTATACAAACTTGTCTCTGCAATTCCATGGTCACTGGACTTTTGCCAGTGAAAGCAGAAAAGGCTCTCTTACGCTTAATGAGAACCATGGAATTGCAGACTTTTAGAGTTAGCAAATCTCTCTTTTTATAGATGAACAAATTTAGGCCTGGAGAGGAAAATGGAATCAGTCATTAAAAAATAATATTGAGGGTCTCCCATGAGGCAGACACTGTGATTAAAGGTGAATAATATGGGTTCTGCCTTCCTGTAGATTATACACCAGTAGGAAACACTGACAAGTAAACAGGTAATTGTTTGCCCAAGATCATGCAGATGATGGCTTGGAAATGGCATCTGTGAAAACTGACAACACGGAAATCTTTATTTTGTGATATTCTTGTGGGCAGATTCTGAGCTTTATGACTTTGCTTTGACACTTGTATCTAGTGAGGTGTCCTTGGTTTTAATATCTAAAGCATAGAGTATTTGGACAGAGACTCTGGACAGACCTGCCAGCTCACTCTCCCTTCCGTAAACAGCAATGTCCCCACCACCTGTACAGCACTGGGATGTCCTACAAAGGACCCACTCTCTTCTCTGCAATATGGAAGACGTTGGCAACCTTCCTATCCACCACTGCCACCTACTGACTCTTTTGAGTACCGCCAGCTCTAGTTCTATTTCCTAGTGTTTAGACTCTGGGATTCTGGCCTTGTTTGGAAGAGAGGTGTTTACTGTGTGACCTCTAAGGTCCCTTCCGATCTTGAAAACCTGCGATTCTACAATTGTCTTTGACATTAGAAGGCAATATTTGCCCATTGCAGAGAAAGAGATTTAATTGATTTCAAATCAATAAAACTTTGATGAGATTTTCCAAAAAACTAGAAAGAAAACACATCCAGGAGACTGAAAAGCACAATGTAAATGTAAAGAGCGTGGCAAATGGGTAGCACGGCGGCCCAGCAGCTGTGTTGGAGCAGCAGACATGTAGGAATACTTGTCATTCTTTTAGGGGTGGCTCTCCCCTCTGCAATCATGTACCACGTTCTTGCTAAACTCCCAAGAACACACTTTCACTTGATTCTATTATAAATTATACTCTGTGCTTAATGGAAAACTTTTCATCTGCTATTTATTTCAGTTTTGTGGAATGACCAAAAAAATTTTTAATGTGTAGTTTGGTATTCTTCAGCAGTGTACCAAATTTGTCTACAGTTATTATGAAACAGACAAGGTGGATCAATACCAAATGCTGATGAGAAAGAGCGCTCCCTTTGCTCAGTGTCACATGCCTTCCCATGTAACCAGCAGAACCCTGGATTCCCCTGTCTTTCTAGATTCACCATCATACGCCCAGGGCTGTTGAGCAACACTACAGGCTTAGTACTAGGACCCATGACCTCTTTAAGGGCTGAAAAAACATTTGATGTGAAAATAATGTTTATTGACTTACACACAAGGAAAGCTCAAAATAAAAAATTGATAATAATTAATCAAATGTTTATGAAAATATATCATTTATTTTTAAATTTAGGATTCATAAGAATTATATGACATTTGAGAATATTTTGAGGGTCAAATTTTTCTCCCATTTTAAGAATTTCTCAGTATGGACAATGATTGCCAAGAAATCATAGGCAATCATGAATTAAATGAATTACTCATAGACAAATAATTTGAAAAACAAAAATCGGTGTCAAATTTATAGTGAAAAGTCATTTTTATTGCTGGATGTGGGGGCATTCATATATATTTGATATAATGTGGGGCAGGACTTTGTGGTTTTTAAAGGCTCTGCATGTTCCTTAAAGTTTTCTCCAAAGAACTAAAGGGGTAGTTAGAAACTGCCTGCTGCAAACACCAAATATATTTCAATTCTAAAGTCTTCAAATTTCTTAAGAAATAAAATCTTAAAAGTTTATAAGAATTTTTTTTCTATTTTGTTGTAATCTGTACTTGTTTAATTCTATTTTTAATTATCCATTAAGTTAAAATCATGCTCCAGGAAGAGGCACCATATTTACCCTATTGATGTGTCTGAATGTCTGTGACACACCACCCCTGGGATGTGTGAGTTCTACAGTTTCAGATTGACAGCTCTTGAGAGATGATGGCAGCGATCTTTTTTTTCTCTTTCTTCTTCTTCTTTTGAGAAAGATGTTAAGAAATCATTACAGCAAATTGTAAGGTCTTTCATTTGATGAAAAGATCTAAGGAGTTTTTTGTTTGTTTGTTTGTTTACCACATAGTAACATCATTTGCCTGTTGTCTAACAGTCTATGTACATCTGCTGGGAGAACTAGAAAATATTCTCTGAGAATAATCCAAATTGTTCCCAATTCAAGAAGCTCCTAAGAATAAGCTTGAATTCCCCTTCCTCCAGTCCTCTGTAAGAGTTGACCCCAGACCCACTTTCAAGCATTACATGGATTCTTCCATGTTCCTCCCTGTTCTTTCTAAATAATACATCCTAATTCCACCTTTGGCCACGAACCACCTACTTCTTGGGGAAGAAGGTCTGCCTCCCTTCACCTCCAGGTGAAACTGCTCTCAGTGCTCTCCTCACAGCCAGCTGCCTAACTGACTTGAGTACCTGGAATCCTGTCTTCAACAATCCTCTGATTTACCCTTCCCTGGGTTCAGGGTTCCCTACAAGTCCCTCTTCTTCATAGCTCCCAGCTCCTATCTTACGGTCTCATCTCAGTAAATGAGAGCTCCCTCCTCTTCCCCATGGATGCTACATCCTCTTTTAGGGAGGCATTTGGTGTGTCTTAATGGTCTTTGTGTTCCAGGACCTAGCACGGTGCCTGGTACCCAGTAGGGGCTTATGTTTGTTATTAAATTAATTAATAAATGAATTAAAGAACGTGAGTGGATTTTATAATGCTATGACTGATAGATAAATACTCAGTGATCCTTAAGGGATAGGAAAGAATGGTTGGGGCTGGAAGTTGTGTTCAGGAAACTTTTAAATAGGCTTTCCAAAGGAATGGCTGACAAGAGGTGTGAGATTAACGGGAAGGGAAAAGAAAAGATGTAATTAGGTGACTGAGGATACCTGACTCCTGATACCCTGTCAGAGAGAAAAGTCCCTGTCGTTTTAGCCTCATTTGGCAATGCTGTTCTTTGCCCCTACCATGCCTCCTTTTGCCCTTGGCAGGAGCCTTTGTTGGAAGAGATGATGATGGGCCTGGGCCCGCTGTTGTTGGTCTTCGTGCTGGGTCTGGGTCTGACCCCACTGACCCTGGCTCAGGATGACATCAGGTACAGAGATTTCCTGACCAAGCACTATGATGCCAAACCAACGGGCCGGAATGACAGATACTGTGAAAGCATGATGGTGAGACGAGGCCTGACCACACCCTGCAAAGACACCAACACCTTTATTCATGGCAAGAAGACAGGCATCAAGGCCATCTGTGGAGATAAGAATGGAGAGACTTATAACGGAAATTTGAGAATAAGCAAGACTCCTTTCCAGGTCACCACTTGCAAGCATGTAGGAGGGTCCCCCCGGCCTCCATGCCGGTACAGAGCCACACCAGGGTACAGAAACATTGTTGTGGCCTGTGAAAATGGCTTGCCTGTCCACTTTGACGAGTCCTTTTTCCGTCCATAACTTGCACGACACTGCCCAGAGCTGGCTCTGCTCTCCTTTCCTTGCCATTTCCCTTCCCCACCCCAGAACAGTGGTGGCAACATTCATTGCCAGGGGCCTAGAAAATGAGCTGCTCGGATCTTTTGCTGTTTTACAATATGTTTAATAAATAAAAATGTCTCTGAAATTGGTAAGAATCAAAGTCTTCTCACTGATTCTTGGCCTATTGATCTTTCCCCATTTTCTCTACTCAGCTGTCTCCTGAGAAGATTGGATGGAATAGAAATGCCTTTTTCTTTATCAGTCAGTTCCTTATCAGTCAGTAGGGAGGTGGACTTCACTTTCTGTGAAGGTAAGGATGTTAAATTCATCTTACAAAGAGAGCTGGCAAAATTCCAGGACTCGTGGCCCCTAAGAAGAGTTTTCAGGAGGGGCAAATTATTTTTGCTGTCAAATAATAAGCCAATATTGCTTTTACAAATGTTAAACCTTAAGGAGAAGAGTTTAGAACTTAATAGCAACAGATTAATTACACTCTCACTGTCTCTCTCTCCCTCTGTCACACACATGCACACACAAACATGCACACATGCAAACACATGCACACACATGTAATCCTGCATGAATACCAAAATCCATTTAGGGTGGACACCTCTTGTCTTAAGCAGGAGGTAATTTTCGTGTTGCTTTGAATGGAATGCTCCCAGGATATTCTCGTGGTTATTTTATATAAAGATCAAAAAATTTGATTACTTGACATTATTTTCTCTAATCTTTTACTTTATCAGCTGATGTCTGGCAACCGCGAGATCTTAGAGAAGTCATAGAGACACTCCAAGCTTATCCCGCATTCTTCTTCAACTGGATTTATTTTCAAGTAAACATAAACTTAGGTTAACAGACACTCTCTTTGTAAAATATACTAATCAAAGCACGGGTTCAGTGGTTAACTTCCTGTTACCCAATTCCCATCAACAGGTGCCTGGATATTTTATTTAGAATGTAGTTAAAAATTACAATTATAAATCACTAGTTTTGCCGTCTCGTGAATATATGACTGTATGGTTACAGTATTCCCACGGTGGCCTCTCCTGCTGCTCACATTGCCCTGAAATGGGCCAAAAGCCCTGGTTCCTCAATACCTGGGTTATAGACCAGTGTCCAGGTGCCACCTGGGAGCCCAGCCTCACTGAAAGTACTCAAATTTATGGAGGAAGGGATGGAGAAGTGGCTTACTGCTGCACACTCAGCATGTGAATCTGTCCGCCTTGAGTTAATCTATTTCAAAGTTGAAAACACCGTCATTTCCTAAGAAAGTAAGCAAAAGAGTTTTCCAAACCTCTCGTATTAGAAAATCTGCCTTATAAAATCTCAAAACCCCTTAGGAAGTGAGAAAGTTTCAGTTTTTGGTAGAGTGTTTGGACCCTTTTCTCAGGTTCTCCCACCAGTACTACCTCCCTGATATGAGGCAAAGTGACTTCATACAGATCATTGCCCCACTCAAAGTCTTGATGGGGAAGGTCAAAGGCAGGGACTGTTATTATATTGATCATGCCATAGCTGTGAAAACTCACATCTTCTCCAAACACCTGCTTAGAGCATTATCATTGCATACGCTGCTCTGGTGTTAGGGCAAATGACTATTTCCTAAGAAGTCACATAGCAGTGGGGTGGGGGTGCTTCCCAGCCTGCTGATGGAGCTAGCAGCTGGGTAGCCAATCTGAGTGCTTTTTGTGCTGGGTCTCTTTTTCTCTCACAACCAAAAGCTGTTTAGAATGAAATGTCAAGTCACAGACAAGTCATTTTATCTCAAGCGAATCATTTGTGGAATTGAAGTTCTGGTCATCTGTGCTTTGTTGACTTTGCGAGGAAAAGAGAAGAAAAACCCTAAAATGTCAAGTCCTTTGAAGAGTGGTGAAATGCAAGGCAGAAAATTCCATGCAATTTGGAGAGAAAAAATTTCTCTAGGGACACAGCATAAATCCTAGTAGCTGAGATATTTCAGCTTAGTAACAGCCTTCTAATTTTTGAGGAATACAGGTACTCTACAAAATAAAGTGGGGGTCGATAATATATGCAATTTGGTGTAGTCATTCATTATTTTATCAGACTGAAGGATGCAAAGGAAACCAATAAAAATGAAAATTATAAAAATGATAACTGCCAACATTTACTGAACACTTACCATGGGCTAGGCATTGTGATCAGCACTTCGCATTGATTTTACCATTTATTCTTCATAACATCCCTAAAAGGTAGGTATTATTATTATGCTCATTTTACTTATGAGGAAATATGCCGAGAGACGTTAAGTAATTTTCCCAAGGTCACAAATTTAGTGTGGCAGAGCTAGGTCTTTGGGATCACAGTATCATAAGAAGTTCTTATTGAGTGTGAATGTGGTGCAATGGAGAAAGCCTTTGGGGCAAGCTCTGACCAAAAAGTATGTGTTAGGTTGATTAAGGAATCGTTTCATTTTCTGCTATAGCTGAAGCCTTGAGATGCACCCATTGATGTCTACATTGGACTTTTCTTTTTGCAAATATTTTTCCATGTCTTGTTAAATCAGTTGGTAAGTGTGGCTGAAGCCATGGGTTTGCTCTGCATGAATAGTTTAAGTCTCCTCTGTAGCCAGTTATCTTGCTAAACCACATTCTTGGTCACAAAGAACCAGGATGAGAAAAAGTAGACAGAACTGTGCAAGATTAGAGGTGCAAGATTAGATTTGGGAAAAACAACCCGAAGGACATTGTTGTAGTGAAGCTATTACCTAAGTGCTAAGTGTACCTTCAGAAGGTGTATCCATTGGTCTTGGGGTGAGGAGTAAGTCAAGCATCATTTCTCCCTGCCACCCTTCTTTGCGTAACCCCTTCACTTCCCTCTCTTCCTAACTCCACATCTTGTATCTACAGCTGCAGTCACAGGAATGTGACATAGAGCTTTATATCTTTCTGTGTGCAGGCAAAAGGTGGCTGTGAATGTAGGAGGTGGTATTTAAAATAATCAAGTTTTTTTGATACTGGTCATTATCACCAACCAAAGGATAGGCTTTAGGTGGAACAAATTGCAGTCCCTCATCAGCCATTTCAGTCACTCAGTGTGATCTGCTATTATGAAGCCACATCTTTGAAAACAAAGGAACGTAGTAGCCATAGACATCAAACCCAGGAGTTCAGCTGGGGCCAGCCGTTGGACTGCACATGTAGGTATGGGCCTGTCTGACTCTCAAAAAATTCTCCTTGCTGCACGTTGGGTTGCTCACTTCCTGTCGAATCAGGGTGATAGTTTTCTTTGCTCTAGTGAGTTAGCCCTGCCTCACTCAAGAGGCAGGTGGATTCAGTTCATGAGTTCACGTCAATCCCAGGAGTGGCAGCCAGATGGCAGCATCTGGCTAGTTGGTGTTGGTGAGTGATCCACCTCCACTGCCACTCTGTTCCGCCCCTGGTTAAACTCTGATGCTAGAGAAGCAACTCTGAGCATAGACGTCTTTAATAGCCTGGATATTTGGGAAAGAGGGATGAGAGAGGCAGCAGAGGAAGTGGAAGGAGCACAGATTTTAGCAGATAGGCCTGGATTCCTTTCTTCAGTCAACAAAAGCAGTGTTCTGAATGTACATGACAATGCTTTCTTTGTTGTTGCTCTGGAAGTTTTTTGTTTCTTTGTTTTTTAACTCTGTTAAACATATGTTTATTTTCTACTGCCAAGAGGTGCCAACACAACGATCCTGCAACTAGAGAAGACAGACAACTACCGACAGCCATTGGCAAGACAGGCAGAGCATCGAGGATAGATGATGACAATGGAATATATCACCAGGGCCTGGTTTTTTAGGTTGTGCATAGAAAGAGCAAGGAAAAAAGACACAGTCCAAGTCTTCTGTTGTGGAGATTGTGCTGCTTAGATTTATTTTTTAAATGTTTCTTAGCTTTTCTTATCAGTCAACTCCACAAGCCTGGGAAACACCTTCACTCTCTGTACCCATTTCATTTCATTTGTTCATTAGCCTGCTTAGTGCATTTATTATCTCCTTCAACCAACATTTACTATCTTCAAAGCACTGTGGTGGGTGCTCTGTTTTTGGTTTTGTTTTTTATGAGATTAACAAGATTTCCAAAAGGGCTTGATTTTAATACCTTTAGAAGAATAGCCACATGAGAGGAAAGGCTGAATGTTATTCTATCCTCTTTGTGCTGCCTTCCTCAATTCCCAGATATAAGGAATTAAAATGAGTTCCTAAGCTTTCTTTGACAGAGTCTATCCAAACTTTTGGGAATCTGAGTCTCCAGAGAACCAAACATTCTCCAAAGATCGCACGACTGGAGAATTATCTCAAGAGACAGACAACTCCAGTTTCATTTAGATTTTCCTTTTCTCCCCTTTTCAAACCCTGACCATATAGGCCATATATACCTGGACAGCCAACCAGTCAGTCTCTGCCCTGGGTCATTGGCTATAGCAACTTCTCTAGAAAAGAGAAAGGCTCTTGCTTTCAGAGAAGACCATATTTGCAAACTATTCACTCTTGGGCAAGCAAGAGTGGGAAAAGTTGTGAGCAGAAAAGAGTGGGCAGATGGTACATACAACAAGGAGGAAAGAGGAGACTACAGAGCTGAGAAATGTCAGCTTGCCATTCTCAACACCTCTCTGCAGTGCCCAATTCTTACCATCCTTTCTCCTGCCCCTTGGTTTCTCCCTAGGCACCTCCAAGGGAGCAATGTCTCTCCAGAGGAGCCATTCATTGCTTCTGCTCTTGCTGCTGACCCTGCTGGGGCTGGTGCTGGTACAGCCCTCCTATGGCCAGGATGACATGTACCAACGATTCCTGCGGCAACACGTGGACCCTGGGGTGAGAGATGGCAGTGATCGCTACTGCAACTTGATGATGCAAAGACGGAAGATGACTCTCTATCAGTGCAAGCCCTTCAACACCTTCATCCATGAAGACATCTGGAACATTCGTAGTATCTGCAGCACCACCAGTATCCAGTGCAAGAATGGCAGGATGAACTGCCATGAGCGTGTAATGAAGGTCACAGACTGCAGGGAGACAGGAAGTTCCAGGGCTCCCAATTGCAGATATCGGGCCATCGCCAGAACTAGGCGTATTGTCGTTGCCTGTGAGGGTAACCCAGAGGTGCCTGTGCACTTTGATAGATAGACGCCACCTGTCAGGGGTTATGGCCCAGCAGTTGGCCTTTCACTTACTCCTTGAATAGCAATGAGTAAAGCATTTGAGCTGTCCAGGCTCTGTCTCCTCTGCTTATTTCTTATTCTTTTTCTCTATATACCCATTCTGTTAAATAAAATCACAGAGAAGTGGAGACATAAACCTATAAGAAGTCTGGGCTTTTCTATAATAAGCTTCCTTTTATAATACTAGTCAACTTAGCTCTCTCAAATCCTTTCCTTTGGAATTTAGTCATTATTTTTATTTCTATAGCATTTCAAGCAATTCAAAGTGCTTTCGTCTAAATTTTTTCATTTTAACGCCACAGTACCCCTGTAACGCTGCTGCTGATATTGTTATATATACTAACCTGAAGTCAAGGGATCTGCTAAAGACCATGAAGTTAGTGGAAATGCTGAGACAAAAATCCAGTTTAACTGGCTACTAATCTAGGGTATTTTCCACTTCATTACAAGGAGTATTTTGAAACTATCTTTTTTTTTGTTATGCCCAAAACTCAGCTGTTGGGGGAAGCATTAAAAATTTGGAAATATGTACTGGCAAAACAAGAGCTCTATCTGTATAATTTGGCAATTTTGTTGTGTTTGGATCTAATAAGATCAAGAAATGATACAAGGAATTTTCTTTTTCTCTTCTCAAACTGTTGAATCACCCTCGTAAGTCAAAGTATTAAAAATATACTAGATCATTAAGAATCATTCCCTCTTCCTGAATGAAAGATATTTCATGTTTTCCTTATAGTAAAGGACTTAAACTGCACATATCTGAGAAAACTGTGCTAAGGTTCTTGTGTGGGGGATTATTTCTTTTTCTCCTATTCTTTTTTGTTCTCCTATCCTCTTTTAATTCTTCTCTAGTTTATAAACATGCATACACCTTAATATCCTCATAAATTCTGGTCCAAGACTAATGCCTATCAGATCGATGGACATGACACAGAAAACTTTGTCTCATTTACTCCAGAGGGAATGATTCCTCTCAAAGATAATTCTCACACCTTCCCTTCTCTCTTTGAATATTTACAAGCAAATTGGACAACAGAGATGTATGAAGATGCGAGCTGCTAAAGAAGGAAAGTGTGTGTGAATGTTTGTGTGTGACTAAACCAAAAACCTTTCAATTACAGCAGATATCTATTATTTATATTTAAAGTGTATGACTTGATTTGGTATACATATACATTGTAAAATAATCACTATAATCAAGCTAATTAACATACCTATGACCTCCTAGGGTTACCCTTCTATGTGTGGTGAAAACACTTAGGGTTTACCCTGTGAGCTAATTTCAAGTATACAGGACTATATTGCTACCTATTAAAAAACAAAATTCAACTGAGTAAATTTTTAAGATCTTATTGGCCTTATTCAATGGTTCATGAATCAGGCAGCATCAAATCTAGCAGATAAAAAGGAGCTCCAAGAAGCTGTACAAAATGAAAGACTTCTATAGGCAGAAGGGAGTAGGAGCAAGGAAGTTATGCTAGGCAAAAAAGTGGGTTTGTTATGGCAAGGTCACTTTCCTTTAGGGGATGGCAGGGGTCTATCAGGCAGATTACCTAGCTAGTGCTGATCAGGGGATTCCTGACTGACTGGTTAAGATTCCATTTCTTGGAGAGCTAAAACTGTAATTAAGTTAAGCTGCTTCTTGGTGATGTGGGGCTTGGCATAAGCAGCTCTATTTGGGTCCTGTTATCTTGTTTTAACATGCGTATAGTCACTATGTTATCCATTAGATCTCCAGTACTTATTCAGTTGTGTTACCAAACCAGGTTCGTTTTTGGCCGTCGCCCGGAAAGCCAAACACCAAGACGACGAGATTGCAGCAGAAAGAAGGTTTAATCACAAGGCAGCCAAGTGAGGAAAACGGGAGAACAAGTCTCAAATCTGCCTCCCCGATAATGGGGTCTCAGGGATATTTATGGGGTAGGGAACAAGGTGGTCTGAAATATGGAGATAGACGATTGGAGGTGAGGAGAGGTGAGGTGATGATCTGCACAAGCGTAGTCAGACTCCATGCCTCTTCATAGGACGAATGTTCACAAAATGGCAGCGTCAGCGTGACCTGAGGGTGGAGTTTTTAGCCTCTTGATGTCAAAAGTATCTTATTGGACATCTGTGTGGACCCAGTTGATGGGTTGGTGGTCTCAACTGGCCTGAAGTGGACAAGGGGTTCTAGTTCCTGAAAAACAGCTCAAACACCCATTACCCTGGTGATCCAGGCTCCAGAGAGATGTTATTTACAGGGAGTCAGATAGCATATTGCCTAAAGAGCACAGTTAACAATGGGTGGGTAAACAGCTAAAAGCTATAACCAATAATTGCAAAAAGGAAAAACAAAACTTTATTTCTTAGCTACTTAATCACCAATAGCTAACTGCCGGTTTCAGTTGCATAACTGAAACTTCGTACCCCTTGACCAACATCTCCGCGTTTCCCCTCCCTCCAGCCCCTAGTTACCACCATTGTACTCTGCTTCTATGAGTTTGATTATTTTAGATTCCACATATAAGTGAAATCAGACAGTATTTGTCCTTCTCTGTCTGGCTTATTTTACTTAGCATAATGTTCTGCAGGTCCATTCATGTTGTCACAAATAGCAAGATTTCTTTCTTTTTAATGGCTGAATAACATGCCATTGTATGTATATACCACACTTTCTTTATCCATTCAAAATTACTAATTGTCAGGGAAAAGCAAATCAAAGCCACAATGAGATATCACCTCTCATCTGTTAAGATAGCTATCATTAAAAAAATAATAATCAGTGTTGGCAAGTGTAATGTAAGTTCCTGACAATTAGCTTTTTTGATTGTAATGTAAGTGCTGACATTAAAATTTTGATTACCAAGGCATCCATTTCAAAGACATCTCAATTAAACACATTGCCAGCCACACGCTAGATAAAGATTCAAGCCACCCAACCTATGAAATTCCCCTTTTAGTCCTGGGTGACCTAGACAACTGACCATTTGAATGACTCTGCTTTTTCTTTCTTGCACTTTCTCATTCTTGTGTTTTAAATTCACCAATAAAGAATGAACCCTCGAAACTCTAGGCATCCCACCCTTGACCCCAATAAAGGCATAACCCCAGATCTATGTTCTTACCCCCATACTTCACTGTGCGGCCCCAGGCATTCCGTGTACCATCTAAGTAATGTGAGTAATAAACCTTGATTTTTCAAAGTTCCCTGATGGTTGTTGCTGAGATGCATCTTGCAATCATAATAAAAACCACAAGGGCCAGTCCAACATTGGCTCTGGTTGGGGAAATGTCTATAGGGGCTCCCCACAAGTAGTACAAACCCAGATGAGTGTCCCCAGACATTTCTAGCTGATAGCATCACTATCGATAGGCTGAGACTAACACAAACAGCAAGGATGGCTTTATTCAACAATTCACGAATCCAGCGGCAGCCGATTTAGCAAATAGAAAGGAGATCCCAGGAGCTGTACAAAATGAAAGACTTTTATAGGCAGAAAGGATTCATGAATGGTTGAATAAAGCCAATAAGATCTTTAAAATTTACTCAGTTGAATTCTGGTTTGTTTTTTGTTTTTTGTTTTATTTACTTATTTTTTCCCCCAAGGCCCGAGTAGATAGTTGTATGTCATAGCTGCACATGCTTCTAGTTGCTGTATGTGGGACACGGCCTCAGCATGGCCGAAGAAGCGGTGCGTCAGTGCGCGACCAAGATCCAGACCCGGGCAGCCAGCAGCAGAGTGGGCGCACTTAACCGCTAAGCCACGGGGCCGGCCCATGAATTCTCGTTTTTAACACCCGTCATTCCTACTATAATGCAGATAGCATAACTGAAACTCTTAGGTGTTCCTTATTATGTTTGATTGCCTGGTGGTATTTTGATTGTATATGATCGTTCTGGGAATTCTCTCAATATGTAACTTCCAGAGAAAGTCTACTGTCATGTCCTTTCCTTAACTTCCTCCCAAGTGTTGGACCTCCCTGAGAGAAAGAGAGAGAGAGTGAGCAAGAAAGACCATTAGAACTAGACTTAGGAATTGGAGAATTATGAGGGTGCAAGTGTATTTATGCCTAAATGTGGCTTTACTGGGACTTCAGAAATTAATCCAAAGCCAGTTGTCTAAAAGTAACTAATACATTGTCTTTTTTTTTTTTCTTTGAAATACTTATATTCCATTTCTCTCTGGTTGAAATAGTTAAGGCAGGTTTGAATTATGTTATTAATAATAAAAGATAACATTTATCACAACTCTCCAGGCAATCAAAATGGGTTAGTTAGGGAAAGGCTAAGTTATGAAAATACTACAGTAGTTTAAGAACAAAGAATTTTGCTTCCTTCACATTTAAGAATTCCTAGGTAAGTGATGCAAGTTATTCAGGAATCCATTTCTTCCGCTGTGTTCCTATGCTATCCCCTGGGGAGAGGTGCTAAGCTTGTAGTGTCATGCACCCCTTTGGCACTCTGGTAAAGCCCAAGGATAATTAAGAACAATAATGACAATTGACAAGAAGAGAACAATAGTATTAAATGCACAAAATAAAATGGATTATAAAGGAAGTCAAATTAACATTTAAAGTTTGTGATATAGCAGTATATGTGTTTATGAATGCATTAAATAATAAGATCTAAATGTAAGTCTAATTACTACCATAATTTTAAAGTAGTTATCCATGTAAAAGATTTTGAGATATTTGCTACAACTGTAAACTGATATGAAAGCATCTGTGATTTCTATTGTTTTCTACATCCATAAGTGATGGAATTGCTAAATTTCAGTTGCAGGTTAATGAAAATAAAGATGTAGCTTTTTTCCCCATACCAGTTCACGGACCCTATGAATGCCCTCCTTGGAATGCTTGGAAGCCCAAGGATCCCAGGTTAAGACACCCTGAGACATTATCATCATCTGCATGACGAAATCTTTCACTATTACGGTTTTGAGAAACAATTGTACCAAAAAATTAAAGAATTGAATAATGGTTAACGAAAGGAAATAGCAAGGAATTAATAGAAAGGAGTTAAAATCAAGGAAAATGTTTAAAGCAAGAATATGATTAGCAAATGATTTTAAATTTGTATTCAAAGGATAATATCTCCTTGGGAACCCAGATCAGAAGCCACAACCCAAGCAGCTTCTGTTACGAAAGCTGGTAGGCAGAGCTTTAGGAAGCAGACCCAATAAACAGCTTCCAGAAACAATGGTTAACTTACCTTCATGGGCTGCTCTGGCAGTTGCTCATTTCTGCAGATATAAAGGGATACTGTTCTCTCAGTTTAGTTTAGGTTGCTTCCTAATTGGCTTCATGTAAGAGAGGTGTTAGAAGTTTTGGCTTAGTTCATAGCAGGTTTTATGGTTGTATGCTTTGGGTTCAGAATAATTTTTTTCCACATTGAAAGTAGAATATGATGTTTATTTGAGAAACACTGGATTAACAAGTTGACACTGAAAATAAATGGGCTAGAACAACCTTATGATAATATTATCAACAATTGATATCAGCATAACACTTTATCATTTAAAAAACTACTTTCACATACATTGCTTCTTATAATTCTCAAAATTACTCACTGATGTTCTAAAACAAGATAAGATGCCTTGAAAAACTATGGATTTCTTTCTTAGCCTGCCCCTTCACACATTAGCCCTGGTAGCTTCTCCCTCCTGCCTCTCTCTACATTCACTGTGTCACTACTTGATCTAAGTCTTCAGTAGACAACACAAACTTGTTAGGAAAGGCTCTGGATGTATAGGCATGTGACAGCTACCTCATTTT